GAAATGAAAGGGGCAGAAAGGGCCAGACAAGTCTGGAAGAAAAGGAATAAAATCAAAATATAAATCAAGAGAAAGGATGCCTTTGTCAGTCTCCCCACATCTCTTGTCTCTTTCAAGTCTGCTTCTGTGTCCCCCAAGTACCTGGTACCAGCCCAAGGTGAGAAGGCCAGTGTGGCTCCCGCCCATATCTCTCTGCCATATCTCTCTGCCTCTTCCAAGATGTCCTCATCTTTCCTGCTCTCTCTGCTCTTCTTCCCCTCCACTTCATCCTTTCTCTGTCCTTTCCCCAGTCTTTTCCAGCTTCACCTTCCAGCCCATCACCACCCTTCTTCAGGGTAGGGCAGGGAACCTGGAACTTCCCCCTTCCCTGGGATTACACTGTTACTGATAAAGCACTGCTGAGAACAGAAAAACCCAAGAGTTGCTAACTTGTACTTTGGAAGTAGTTATGATGACTGCATCTTTCAACCAAAAACAATTCAATGAAAAGGACTGTAGACCTGATGATGAACAAAAATAGAAAAACAGTTGTGTAGATAGGTTTGGGTTTTTGGACAGGAAGAGCTAGGGGTTTAGTCATGGAGGATACAACTTTAGAGAAATAGGGCCTGTGTGATTTTGAACAAGTCAGTGTTCTCATTGAGACTCAGTTTCCCCTATGAAATGGCAATGAACACTATACTTACCTTGTAGTGTTGCTGGAAGTTTGTATGAATAAGCAGAAAGTGTGTAGAATAAGCTTGACACTCAGATTAAGTGCTCTCTGTGAGTAAGCTAGTATCATTTTAGTAAAAATTAATCAATTTATGTCAGAATGGATGAGGTCAAGCCTCCAGTTAGGCAGACAGGTGCAGCTGATCCACTCCCGGCGCAGAGTGACTGAAAGCAGAAAAATGTACTCACTGGCCCCAGAGACAAAGTATCATGGAACTGAGGGAGAAATCAGAATCTCCTTCGTCCCCTAACACCACATTCTCTAATCTAAATCACATCTGTTACCCCCGTGAGGTACGTGGATGTGCTCCAAGACTTCAGAACAGACCATGTGAAGCTGGCCCTGTTTCACATGTTAGTTCCAGAACAGTTCGAATTTTTGTTCCCTCATGTGATTAATTTCCCTTCAGCTCAATTTGGTTGCTAAATGATCATTCAGAATAGTGTTGATTTCAGCAAATACCCACAGAGCCACCCTCACCTTTAAAAAGACGTGCTCCACAGAAAGCGTTTTAATGTTTATAGTAAAAAGAATTCATATTGAAAACATAGGGACACTTCTTAGTAAGCCAATCACATGTTTGTGGAATGACTAAAAACATGCTAAAGAAAGCTGAGGAAGTTACTTGAAATTTGAAATTGCATCCTCAGTAGCCAAGTGTCCTCTCCCCTGGGCACTGTCCTTGTGTTGCCCCACCTCCCGGTATTAAATAGGCCAAATTTTACTGTAGCTGTTTTTTATGGTTGCTGGGAATGTTGGGTTTCACTTCTGAGACCTTGCTGAATTCAAATGGACCTTTGCCTGACTGACCTGACGATATTATTTTACACTGACCCTTCCCCCATGTACTCTATCCTTCTGCATTTTCCTTTCAGGCAGCTTCTCCATTCAGCACACTGTGTATTTCACACATGAGTTTTGTTTGTTGTCTGCCTGTCACATTATAGTGGCACAGATGGCATCCTTTTCCTTCAGTGAGTGCCCCTAACTTCACCTAAGTTTTGATTCTCAATTGTGTTTAGAGAATCATAAATAGGAACTTTGTATATTTACTAAATGGTATAAAATTATTATGTGGCAGTGCTACCTGAGAAAACACTTACTTCTGCCTTCATGAAGTTTGTCTTCTACAATCCAAACCAAAAAAAAAAAAAAAAAAAAAAAAAAAAAAAAGAAAAGAAAGAAAGAAGAAGTAAATAAAGCAGAGTCTGGCATGTGGTAGAGATCCCACATCCAGCTTTGTTTTTCAGTAGAAATAGAAAATGTCGGGGGAACTGAATTCACATATGGAGCTCTTGAATGAACACGAGTGTCTGCATTGCCAAAGCTATTAGACTCAAGAGCATTTAAGTGTCCTGTTGCAGCCTGGCCAACTGTTTGAGCCAAAGTATCAAATGGATCATCAATGACTTGTTCCCATACTCTATATGTCTCATTCCTCTAAGACTGTCCTCCTTTAATGAGTAATTGTCTCCTCTGTTAGCTGTTCAGCCTGCAGAAGCCTGGGCCTTTGTCCCACTCTCCCACACACAATGTGCTCTAGTGATTGCTGGCAAATAACTTTTTAAGGTACTGATTAGCAGACAAATGCCACATCCCTAAGAGATGTTTCCCAGTGCAATTGCATCTGGAATCCTTGAAAGCTTGTCGTATTAAAGATTAAGGAATGTTACTACTCAAACCTGTTCTGTAATCCATATTTCTTGTAAAGCAAAACATTTCTTTGTAAGTACATGCTTTGTGGATAAGGTCATATTCTGGCTTGTAAGTCTTGCTCACGTCCATAAATAGAGACAGACACACTGAGTTTTGACTCCTCAGGCTCTGTTCTATGCCAGGTTGGTGATTAGTGTGTGAAAAGTAGCTTTTTAGGAGGTTTGACTGGTACCTTAACAATTAGGGGACTATAGTGGTTATAATTGTCATGGTATAAAGGAGGATTACCACTTCCCAAAGGCAGAGATCAGTGTCACTCTGCTTTGTCCTCGCGTCCAGCAGTCGCATGACAGGCCATTCCTACTGGTCCTCAGTAGAAACATGAGTAAGGAGAATTGAATGTAATCAAGTCTAAACAAGAGTCTTAAAAAAATAATAATGCAGTGAAAAATTCAGACAGAAGATCCTCTGGGATCAGTTTCATGAGGAGACAAAACAGGAGTTAAATTCTAAAGAAATTAAGTTTTCAAATGCTGGAATAAAGTCTAAAAGACTTTATTCAGTTAAACCTGATTGGTTTACCTTCAGTTAAAACAATTTTGAGCATCACGTTCTACCATGTATTTGTAATTCTAAATATGTGCTACATTAAGACTCCATTTAGGTATATTTCAAAAATAAGACTTTAAGACAGGAGCTAGCAATGAAAGAAGTCATGCTTTAAATTACTTTTATTTATTAATAGTATATCACTATTTACATTGGGTACAAATATGAAATTCCTATAACCTACTTAATAATTTTGAATTTTTTTGGATAACTTCTAGTCATATTGGATTAAGTCTTGATAATCTCATAATATGATTAACAAGGAGTTTTATAGATAGAAAAGACAGGTCCACTAAGTCATTTTTTTTTTAAATTCACTCATGTCTGCTTTATACATGCTGTCTTCCATCTTCAGTTTCTTTGAAGAACCTATTTAAGACATTGATGATAAAAGTTAGATAATAGACTCATTCATCCAAGCACATAAAATCTGGAACATGTTGAAAATGTTTAACATGAACAAATGAGTGGGGGTCCCAGGTGGAAAGTCAGTAACCTGCTCTCCAGTGTGACATGTGGCATCCTCTGACAGAGGCCAGGAAGGGGTGGGGTTGGACACTCCTCCCATGAGGGAGCCAGCAAGTCACAGCTGTGGCCCAGGAGAGGTGGTGAAGGAAGGAGGGAAAGTGAGCAGGCAGGGTGGCTGGTGAGGTTAGCATATTCACTGTGTAGAGAGCCTTTGACCTGGCACAATATGCAAATGAGACTATTTGCGGATTTCTAAGAAAGGACTTAACAAGAAAACAGCTTTATTTTAAAAACTGTCCTGAAAGTCAAAGAAAATAAAAAAATGAAACTTCAAATAAGCCAATTCAGAGGCACTATGAATGAAACTCAGTTATATATCATCAGCAAACTCTCTACCTAAAGCACTTTAGCTTCATCATCCGCTGGCTTGGGGACTCTGATTTCCTTTTAAAGTAACCTTTGCTCTTCATCATTTTTTTCTCCAGCTTATTGATATATAATGGACAAATAAAGTTGTAAGACATTTAAAGTGTACAATGTGATGATTTGATGTTTGTATACACTGTGAAAGGATTTCCCCATTAACACAGCCATAACCTGTTTACATTTTTTTTTGTTGAAAATATGTAAGTTCTTAGCAATTTTCAGTTATGAAAATACAGTGTTATCAGCTATAGTCAGCATGTTTACACTAGACTCTCAGATTTTATTCATCTTGTAACTGGAAGTTTATCCCCTTTGACCAAACTCTCCCTATATCTCCTATATCCTTGTCCCTAGCAACGACTTTCTTACTACTATTTCTATGAATTTGATTTTTTTTTTTGCCAGAAACTACCTGTAAGTGATATCATGAGGTATTTGTCTTTCTTTGCCTGACTTATATCACTTTGTATAATACCCTCTGTTTTCATCCATGTTGTTGCATATGACAGGATTTCCTTCTTTTTTAAGGCTGAATAATCTTCCAGAATATAGATACAAAAATGATAAATAGATAGGTGGATAACAATTTCTTTTTTTTTAAAGATTTATTTATTTGTACATACAGAACTGGGGTACAGGCCAGAGGCTCAGGGGTGGTGAGAGGCTTCACCAGAGACAGAGCTGAGAACAGAACAGGCAGATTGACGAAGTACACTGCTAAGGGGAGCAGCGGGCGGGCCAGGAGAGGTCTGCCGCGTCATGTGGTCACCTCCAGGGCAGGCGGGAATCGAACTCATGCAGAAGTGGCTTTAGCTTCTCAGTTTTGTGCTTTAACCTGCTGCACCACCAGGGAGAGCCAGATCACAATTTCTTTATCCATCCACCCACCAGTGGGCACTATGTCACTTTCATCTCTTTGCTACTGTGACCAACATTTCAATGAATATAGGAGAACAGATAGCACTTTGAGATCATTATTTCATTCCCTTTGGAGATAGGCCTTAATGTAGGTTTGTGAGTACAGGGTAGTTTCATTTTTAATTTCTGGAGGAATCTTCATCTGTTGGCATTGTGGTTGCACTCATGGAATCCCACCCACAGTTGCATGTTCTTCATTGTCTGGCAGGAGAGAGCCAGGAGCTGCCTGCCGTTCCTGGTGAGCCAGCTGGCCAGCATGGAGCATTCTTTCCACCATATTCTTCTGCTGGAGATTAAGAGCATCACTGACACCTTCTCCTCCATCCTTGGCCCTCAGAGCAGAGATATCTTCCGCATGAGCAACAGTTTCACCGCCATCGCCAAGCTCCTCAGCCGACAGCTGGAAGCAGCCCAGACCAGAAGTGACAGGTGAGCAGGAGTCCCTGGAACTACAGGGATCCGCTGTGACCCCCACATAGGCATTGCACAAGTTTAGAGGTGTGGAATTTCCCCCCAAATATGCCAAACTCACTATCTCAACATAGAGAAATTTCTGAGTTTGGCACTTGCCAACATTTTTTCTAAATCTGTTAAAACCCAAATGTAACAAGACTTTCTAGAAAGTACATAAAATAATGGCAAAGAATAAAATGTGCAAATAATAATATTTTGTATTATTTATATATTTTTTTAATAAGCATTTAAGAGTTGTGTGCTTTGTAGAGGAAACTGCCAAAAGCTAGCTGTTTAAAACATATCCTTTTACCCAAAGTGCTCACTGTGTAGTAGAGGAGATAAATGTTTAAATGCATAATCAGAGAGTAGAGGGGCATTGTACAAATCACAATGGGGTCAAGGAGTTTGGGTAACACAGCAACAGTTATACACCTCTGCATGGGATGGAAAGAAATGGGAAACTGAGTATAAAGAAAGCATCCCAGAGTCAGGTTTTTAACCAAGTTGTGAAAGGAACCCAGATTACACCAGTGTGGCTTGTGCAGTGTGAGAGAGAGTTTGGCACTTTCTGAAAGCGGCAGCTGACTGTCTGGCTAGCGTATGTGTTCACAAGAAGGTGATACCAGAAAATGCCAACGAGGTGTTCGGAAGGGACCCCACAGTGGGGAGAGTCTGGACTTCCTACGAGTTTGAATTTTACCCTATAAGTTCTGTGGCGTGATTGTAGGGGGTCCATGAGAATTGTGTTTCAGGAAGTTCACTCTGGTTCCATCCTAATCATCAGGAGCACAGACTGGACTCAGGTCATGAGGACAAGACAGAGAAGTGCATAGTGTTGGCCATGAGGAGATTATTGATGATTGGAGTGAGCTGCAGAGAGTAGAGGACAGAATGCCTGCGGTTGAGAGGGAGAGTAAACACAAAGCCAAAGCCAGCCTTTGAGGAAGCTACTGGGAAAACTTTTTTGTTTGTGTTTGTTTTAGATGATTTCTATTTTTATTAATTTGTTTGCTTTTGCATTTTATCATCTTGGTTGTAATCCCTGTGGACTTCCCACCACCAATCCACCAATTCACCAGTGTGCTTCCACCATAGTCCTGTGTATTCTTCCCACCACAGTTTTCAACCCAGTCCTCTTTCCCTCTCTACCACAAAAAAATGTCTCTGGTTTATAGTTTGTTGTTTTTCGATTTTACTTTACTACATTTGCTTTTATTTGTTCCTGACCGCTTACACTCCTGCTATGATTTTTCTTTCTCTTTCTGGCTTATTTCACTAAGCATGATGCCTTCTAGATCCATCCATGTTGCTGCCAAAAACATGAGTTTATTTTTGTGGATTGCTGAGTAATATTCTATTGTGTATATGTACCACATCTTTTTAATCCGGTCATCTATTTTGGGGCATTTGGGTTGATTCCATATCTTCTCTATTATAAATAAAGCAGCAATAAACATGGGGGTGCAGGTGTCTTTTTGAATCAGTGTTTTTGTGTCTTTTGGGTAGATACCTAGGAGTGGGATTGCTGGGTCGTAGGGAAGCTCCATGTTTAGCAGTTTGAGGAACCTCCAAACAGTTTTCCATAGTGGTTGCACTCATTTGCATTTCACCAGCAAGTGCAGGGAGTTGCTTTTTCTCCACATCCTCACTAACATTTGTTGTTGCTAGTTGTTTTAAGATGTGCCATTCTCACTGGGGTGAGGTGGTATCTCATTGTGATTTTAATTTGCATCTCCTTATTACAAGTGATGGTGAACATATTTTTATATGCCTGTTGGCCTTCTGCATTTCCTTTTTGGAGAGTGTCTTTTTAGCCCTTCTGCCCATTTTTTGATGGAGTTGTTCACTTCATTTTTTGTTGAGTTTCACCAGCTCTTCGTATATCTTCATTATCAGTCCTTTATCACTAGTATTGTGTGCAAAAATTTTCTCCCAGTCAGTAGGGTGTCTCTGTTTTGTGTAGCGTCTCTTTTGCTGTGCAGAAGCCCTTTAACTTGATGTAGTTCCAGCTGTTTATCCTTTCCTTCACTGTCCTTATTTTGGGTGTTGTATCTTTAAAGATATTACTGAGGCATATGTCCTATAGTGTTTCACCCACCTCTTTTCTTCTTCCAGATATTTTATGGTTTTGGTTCTTATGTCTAGTTCTTTAATCCACTTTGAGTTGGTTTTTGTGCATGGTGCGAGGCAATGATCTAGCTTCATTTTCTTGCAAGTAGCAACCCAGTTTTCGCTACTGGGAAAAAATTTAAGAACACCATGCAAAGGAGGGGATTTATTTTGTTTTGTTATATTTTGAATAGGGAGACACTTGAAACATTTTATGATGTTTGGAAGTTCCAAATAATATAATATCTGGATATCTGTAATAATATAAATACAGTGAATGTTATTACAATGTAAAATAGTAAATTTTAGTGGTTATTTCTTTCAGATTCATCACCTCAGTGGATTGTCATGACCACCTTCCAGGGAAGGGTGGGAGATGTCAGAGTCCTATTTCACGGAAGTAGAGCTTTGGGCAGTTTAACCTCTTCCCAAGGCTGTGGAGACGGGTGGCGTTGGGCCACAGTCCCCATCTTCACACATGTCCATTGTACTGAAAAGTGTTCTGTTCTGAAGAAGTCAAAGGGCCCAGTGGAAACTACCAGTACATTTTATGAGTTTTGGGGGGGATGTCAAATTTAGGGAGAGCATACCATTTCCATTGTGAAACAAGAATTCCAAAATCACAAGAAGCCAATTTGATAAAACAGAGAACATTTAGCTTGACGCTTCATGTCAAGCCTGGGGTAGATCTGGAGGCCGAGGAGACACCAACACTGTCCCTGCCCACCAACACTGTCCCTGCACAGATGAGCACAGGGAGATTTTTTGTGGAAGGGCATGTTGTACTCTATGAAGCAGGAGAGACATCCTGACCAAACTGTGATTAAATGGGTGATGTGTCTGTTGTTTTGGCAGTGATAGTGAGATTTTTGTGTTTCTTAAACAGCCTTTTCACAGATTCAGGACCAGCCTAACCATTGAAGAGTGCATTGAAGAGATTCAGTCTCAAAAGGATGGTCTTTCATTGATATGCAAATACAACCATTTTCATATAGAAGTTGGCCAGTTTTCATGATGTGACCTCAAAAAATTTTTTGAGCCTTGACAGCTGGTGTTTGGGGGTGGGGGTGGGGGGCCATTCTGTGTTCTGTGCCCAGTGGACCTACTTATTCCTTTTCCAGTGATGCAGGCACAAGTGTCAGAAATGAAGATGGCAAATGTTCCTTCAGTGGTCCAGTTCTTTGCTTGTCTCTCCACACATGCAAAGTTGTCACCTGCAAGTTTCTAAGTGTGAGGTTTATAGAGAGGGGGAAAAAAGTTACACAGGTGTGTTACATTAGGCATTATAACAAGAAAAGTAATCTTTAATAAGTAGGCCCAATCCACTTAACAATAAACAATTCCCCTTCCTAGAAGCCTCAGAGATAGGGAGGAAGAGCTCACTAACAAAAAAACAAATCTACATGTATGAGATTGTGGTTAGATTTCACCATTGTTTTTCTAAGAAAACCAAAAATTTAGTATGAAGATTCTCACTTCATCTACCATCACCACCACCACTGTTACCACCTCAACCTCTTTTGATTCAAACCCTTTTCCCAGTTCAATCCTCACTGTCAATCTCCTGCTCATAGACTGTGATTATTCAGTGGGAACCTTAGAGCACCAATGTGGACAGCTAACCGTTTGTATTAGCTGCACATCCCCTCTGGATGGTTGCTAAGGCTTCTCTACCAACATCTTTTCCCTGAATAGCCTTCATTGTCACCATTTAGCATCAGTAATTTTAATCTGTGACCCCCCAAAGCAGAAAGGTCTACTCTTTTGTCTAAGGCATCCAGCAAAGTCTTATCCTTACAAATAAAGGGGAATGAATAAGTAAAGAGAGCTTGAAAGAAAATTAAAGATGATAAAATTCAAAACAGATGTCATCTAATTTACAAATCTAACACATGCTCCAGCAGGCCAGATAGTAGACTTCAGGCCAAAGCTATAAGACTATCAAAAGAAAACCAATTAGCATCCTATTGAGAATGTAAGGCTGGAGCAGACAGGAGACTTCTTTGTGCCAATGACTCTGAATTAATTGGGTGAGTTTTATTAGATGCACCAAGTAAGCACACTTGCACTTTTCTTGTACCTGTGTTTTAGGAAAAAAATGTTTCTTTCTAAGCAATAAGCAAACTGAGGTAAGATAACAGGACAACCAAAGAATTTAGAAGCTAATTCTGAAGAAGCAGAAGAGAGCTTCTTCTTGTGGGTTCAAACAACAGAAGGTGTCAAGATAAGGGATGAGCTAGACCTTCCAAAACTGTGTCACCTGCAGTGACCTTTGAGCAGCCTCTAGTGTTAAGTGCTGCCAGAACAGAGGAGACGCTGGGGAAGGAGAGGCTGAGGCAGCACAGTCCCTGATCACTGCCCAGAGACGCCTTTGCCTGTCACTGTGATGCTCGGGGGCTGCTCTAATCAGACACCTTTGGAATTAGGGATAGTTTGTCATGGGTGGTCGTAGTTGGAGGTTAGGTTCAGATCCCAGTTGGGGATGGAAACTTTGAGTGGTGATAATTGTGGAAAGAGGGAAGGAGGGTGGGGCTCAGATCCAACCTTCAAAACTTTGCCAAAGCCACCAAAGACAAGTTGAGTTGGAAACAGTTGCTTTTAAGAATTTTAACACAGAGTATGTAATTAAAGCTTTCCCAAACCTGACTCAAAGAGTGGTAAGTTTGTTGTTTTGGCAATGATGGTGAGGTTTTATGTTTGTCTTTGTTTTTAAACTTCAGCCCTGGGGGGAGGGGAAGCTTGAAAGAACAATGAAAGGTAAAGTGTAGTCAAAGTCCATTGGGCCGTACAGATCTGATTTTGTGATAATGGGAAGGAGGTAACATAATGATGGGAGGAAATGAGAAAACAGTATGTCTGGGAAT